TCTCTCACATGGTTGGTATCAGGACTCTCTCCATCATGGATATCGACCATGTTCCCATCCATGTCAAGTCAGAGATCCAGCAGGTACGCTGTTTAACCCTCTTCTTTGGGCCTTCCTCCTCTTGCTCCTCCCCCCTCCCCCTCCCCCCCGTTCTTTGACCTTGTCCTCGTCGTCCTATCGCCCCCGTGCCCGTGCCCGTGCCCGTGCCCGTCCCCGTCCTCGTGCTCGTCCCCGTCCTCGTCCTCGTCCTCGTGCATGTGCTCGTGCTCGTCCTTCGAATCTCCAATCCTCTTCTCGATCGCTCTTCTGCTCCTGCCCAGCTCACTCTCCATCAGTTCTTCGAGCTGTACAAGTCCCTGGAGGCCAAACCCGGGAAGCCCAAGTGGGTGAAGATCCGCTCGTGGGGAGACCGAGTAAGAGAGGAGGGAGCGATGGAGCTAGTGCTGACACTTGTTCTTTCCTGCTCCTGCTCCTGCTCCTGCTCCTGCTCCTGCTCCTGCTCCCGCTCCTGCTCCTGCTTTTCTTGGTTAGGAACAAGCTCTCAAGGAGCTTAAGGACTCCATCGACCTCTACGAGAAGTCGATGGCAAGAAATTCGTTCCTCCGTTGCCTGCACTTTGTCCTCGTCCTCGTCCTCGTCCTCGTCCTCGTCCTCGTCCTCGTCCTGTCATCGTTCTCGTGCTTGTCCTCGTGCTCGTGCTCGTGCTCGTGCTCGTCCTTGCTCTCTTCATTCTACTGCAATCTCTCCTCGTTCTGTTCCATCTCCCTCCTGCTCTCTCCAGTGGCTCCTCTGATGTCGAGCAGGACAAGGATTCCACAAAAGATGAACCTCTTCCTCCTGTTGGTAACGTTTACGAGCTCACCCCCGAACTCTGCAGCCTGCGGGAGGGAGCTCCTAGAGGTCAGTTGATGGTGGTGGTGGTGGTGGTGGTGGTGGTGATGATGATGATGATGATGATGATGATGATGATGATGATGATGGAGATGGAGATGATGATGGAGGAGATGGAGATGATGATGATGATGATGATGATGCTGATGATGATGCTGATGATGATGCTGATGATGATGATGATGATGATGATGATGATATGATGATGATGATGATGATGATGATGATGATGATGATGATGATGATGATGATGATGATGGAGATGGAGATGGAGATGGAGATAAAGATGGAGATGCATGTGCTAGAGACGAAGATTGAGATGATGATGATAATGACGACGATGATGATAATAATTGTGTTTTGTTCTTGATTTTTGTCTGTTTACTTTGCTTCAGGTGTCTGCTCTGCCTACGTAGAGGTGAAGAAAGGAGACGCAAACAAGTACGAATGGGACAAGGACACAGGTAGGCGAGGGTCGAAGGAGGCGCTGTTAGTATTAGAGTGCCAAGAGAGAAAATCAAGACCATGGAGGGGGGAGATGATAACACAATGGTGTACAGGTTTCCTTACACTTGATCGAGTGCTCCATAGCTCGATTTTCTATCCTGGTAAGAACGAGAAGTTGTGGAGTAGGAGGAGTAGGAGGAGTAGGAGGAGAGAAGCAAAGTGAAGAAATCGATCCTTCACAAGAAACAAGACCAGAAAGGATCAGGACAGAATGGAGGAGGAAGAGCGAGAGGGAGAGAGGCACAGGGAGGAGGAACGAAGGGAGGCAGGTAGGTAAAGAGGTATGGAGAAGAGAAGTAGCGACATTTGAGTTTGTTCTCTTTCTCTTATTCTTGATCTATAGGTGATTACGGTTTCATCCCACGCACTCTTTGCGGCGATGGCGACCCAATCGACGTTGTCGTGAGTGACTTTATGATGATGATGGTGGTGATGATGATGATGATGGTGGTGGTGGTGGTGGTGGTGGTGGTGGTGATGATGATGATGCTGGTGGTGGTGGTGATGGTGATGGTGATGATGATGATGCTGGTGGTGGTGCTTGGCTGT